TCGGCGAAGGCTACTGCTCAGTTTTCATCTTGCCTGCTTCCAAAAACTAATGTCTCTACAACATATTTTGAACAACAAGGAAATTTTAATAATTCTTTAATTTAATTACATATAAGCAACATTTTCATAGAAAACAAATTCTTCTTTTATCTCTGTTCAAATAAAATAATTTTTGATATTAGTCATTTTTCAAAGTTTTAGCAATAATTCGTTTATTTCAAATATTATTTGAGTCGTACTGATTTTTAAAATAATGCGCGTAGCTGAAATATTATTTATTGCAAATACTCGGTTAAGGACACTCCTTTTCCCATTTTTTCCCTTTATTATCAGATTTCATCATATTAAAAACTCAGAACACCTGTTAAATAAATAATTAAAAATATTCTAGAGAGGACAATACAGATGAATATATTCCTGAGAGAATATTCATGAGCTATTGACATGGTGTTCCCAACAGGCACAGGAAACTGAACAGAATTTTAATGCAAAGTGATTTTTTTTTTAAATTTTCTCCTATTTTTATTTATTTATTTTTTCCCTTCTCTGTAGTAGTCCACTTCCTTATTTTTACTTTCCATATCAATATTGTACTTCTGTATAATACTCGTTGTTAAATTCTTCTTTTAAAAAGGTGATAATAAAACGAGAAATATGGTAGGGAGGAAAACTTGCGACCTGGAAACTCCACATTACAATGCAACACATCGAAAAATAATTCGCCATTTAAAACTTTTTTAAAAAACTTAATAATTTAGAAACATAAAAAAGCAAAAATATTTCATTATATTTTTTTAATTAAAAATAAATGCCTGTGTCTGCATGCAAAGGTAAATCTTTACTACTGAATGAATTTCAAAATCCTGCTTGAAAGCTGGATTTCATTTTTAAATGTAATGCAATCTGCATTTCACAACAAAATTTCATTATCTTCATTCGGTCATTCAAGCTACTGGAAGCAGACGATAGTGTACACAAAAAACAGACTAAGAAATTTTATGAAGGATTTAATATAAAATGTTGCACTATTGTACTACAATTTAATTAAGTTACCTAAGAATGAGATTTTTTTCCCTTTTGCATTTTTAGTTTTAGAATTTGTACTACTTTGATTCTTTTTTAAAATTTCGAATTGTTTAAATATTGTGTTAAACCTCTTATACAAGGATGCAGTTAGTAATATTGCTGAGGAAATGCCTTGCTTTGACTCCAATTTACTTTATTTAGATGCTTTATATATAGATAGATAGATATAATTTATTTCCTAAACAGTATTGATTAATTGATTATATTATCTCCTAAGTTTAATTAAAGTAGAGATATAGATATACTATCTTAATTTCATTGCATAGGAATTATGCAAAGTGGACACAAATGTACACATTCAGAAAGAAGCGCGTGCATGAAAGGTAAAATTGTAAAAGGCAGTAAACTTTAACAAAATTCGAAATTTTGGTACTTGTAGGATTCTGCCTAAAAATCAAAAAGAGGAAACGTTTAACCTTAATTATTTTATTAAATTCGTATTTAATATTAAATACCATTATAGGCAATTGAAATGTAAACGAAGTATTTCAGCATTTAAGTTTAAAAAATAGCATTATAATACACTGTTATTTATGTTTAAAATCTGGTAACAAAAGACAGCAGAAAAAATCGGAAATCTCCGACTGGTCGACATCCCCCATAAAGCCTTGGAGGATGATAATCGAGGCTCCCTTGGGTGCGGGGGTCCAATCAACGATTGTGGCTCGCGTGATACCAATACCCTAATTTAGAGGGCCGCATTTAACCTGTTTACTACCCTAGTGCCACCTACCGATCCCTCACCCCCCAGCCTGAACGGTCGATGACTGCTCAATCGCTGGAACGGAGAGGAAGCTGGTCGATAGGGAGTGAGTGGGTGGAAGGGATGGAGCGGATTTTTGGAAGTGTTTAAGAGAGAGAGTAACACAGTTGTCTAGCAGAAAACTCGTGCAACGCAAAAAGCTTACTAAATCTAAATTAAAAATAATCACTCAATACTTAATTTCATGAATTTTTAATATGCATAATGTAGATATTTTCGTCTACCTTTGAAGACAAGTAATTATTGCGTATCTTCACCAATAGCAAAATAAAAATAATTAATCTGCATCGACGTACTTAATGTATAGAGTATCTTTTCTTAGTTAATACAATGACGAAAATATTCCTAAAATTATCAATTGCATATATTTTGTAAATTTAAATATTATCAGCCATATCAATTAGATATATTATCAAAAAACATATTATTAAGGAATACTTTTGCTGCTTTTAATTCTTTCTTTTCTAAATACAGTATTAAATTTGTGCATTTTCCTTCAAATTTTTTCGCTTACGTTAGGTGATCTGAAGTTTCCAAAAAATATACACCCGTTTATTTTATCATTCAACGTTAATTGTTTCTTTTTTATATATCCCGGAAGAAATTTTTTCAAGGTGTTTGTTGTTTCCATTTCGTAAATTTTGATTACTGTCAAAAAATTTTGTCACTTAAAAGAAACATTTATAGCTAGCCTCGTGAACAAACGATCCTGTGAAATAAACGCAGAACTATCTCCTAAAATAACGTCGTTTCTTTATAAAATAAGGGCACAAGTTTTCTCGTAACATTAATTTATAATGACGTAATACTATACCTCTTCTGACAGATTTTTATATGAAAAATTAGTTTTTATTTATGATACATGCATACAGCTAACCCAATCAATCATAAGGAGCAGTCAAATTAAAGCGGTTTTAATACATTCGCCATTTCTAAGTTCTTTATCATTGAAAAAAAAACAAAAAACAAAAAAAAAAAACTGAAAGCTTTCAGATTTTATATTACGCTCAAACGGCGTTTTCTTCATGGGAGATTCAAAACGGGATTTGAAAAGTGATACAGACATAAGTTATTTGACGCAAAATACCGTTAGACATTGTAACGTTTGTGCGTTGTTACGCTACCAACATAATAGCAGTAAGAAATCTAAAGAAACCTCGTCCATAAAATGTTGAGTATGTTAATAAAAATTTTGGGCTTCCAGATGCCCATATTCGAATGGAATACTACGTTATTCAAAATTAATGTCTCTAGGTAGAGTTATTTTTTCACATTGCGAGAAACATACATACACTCATACAGATTCTTTTTTATTTCATTGCTTTAAGTATAACCAAGGAGTTGAATATTTGGTGGCAACAATTTGAAAAGTGATTCAGACTTTTATAGTGAACCAACGCAAAATGCCAAAACGAAACTAATAGCCATCCTGGACGAATTGCCTCTTTGGGTTAAAAAATAATAATAATAATAAAAAAATCTAACCTTTCAGTTGAAGAAATTTAAATTCATTTATTACAACATTAAAACTGCTACAAAAATTTTATGGCACATTTATTAAATATTTTTATTTACCTAATTTAACTAAATTAGATGCTTCTTCAAGACCTCAGACTAAAATAGCAATATACATTTAAAACTGCTTGCAGACTCTTTGAAACAGGGCCGAAAAATTAAGGAAATATGAAAAAGTAAAAGATGCTTTTCAATATATTATTAAGTGCATGTAATGATGAAAAATACCAACACCAAATGCATAATTTCTGCACCTTTTTTCACCGTTTCCAGAAAATAATGGAAGAATATATAGAAACTTTTTCCTTTTTATGGTCATAATAAATTAAATATTGATCAATGGTAATGTTACAGATCTTAAAGACTTCCAAGAAGATTGTGAAGACCATCAAATAACTTAATGCAAATTATACAGATACATGTCCCTTTTCAAAATAATACAATAGAACAAAACTGAAATTTCTGAATAAAAAAAAATTCGGCATTTGCGATATGTATACTCAATAGTACAGTGAAGAACAGGGTAAAAAAATTTCATAACTCCCAAAAAATTTATTCTGAATTTCTAAGAAATACATTCTGCATAATTTTACTGACAAGCTTCAAATTTTCTGGCTCCAGAAATTACCCAAATAACGTTACAATAAACTCTTTTATGGTAGGTTTTTTTAACTTCATGAATATAATTAAGACACAATAACACGCCGAATAAATACTAACTCAGAAGTCAAACAACAAAACCATCGAAACTAGTCCTGTGAAAATTTTGTAAATATAATGCTGATTTTTGTTGTTTGACTTCTGAATTAGTATTCATGAATATAGTTAAACTTTTACAAAAGTAATTGTAAACACATTTAAAAAATCATTTAAAAGTTTATTTAAGTAAAAAAAATACTTCCTTTAAATATTGTTTTGCATATTTGATAAAAAAAAAATTTTCTTCATCAAAACAATATCGCAGTACTAATTTAGAAGTCAAACAAAAAAAATCAGCGTTATATTTGCAAATTTTTACAGTGAAAATTTGCAAATATAACGCTGATTTTTGTTGTTTGACTTCTAAATTAATATTTGTTTGGCATGGTATTTTAACCTAAATCCCAGTACTCTTGTGACACTTTTAATTTTTCTTTCGATTAGTTAAAAAATTCTTTAAATTATTCGGAGGTACGCTATTAAATTTATTTTCTGTCTTAAAAGTAAAACACGCTGGTTACTCTTCATAGACATCATTCTAGATTTTAATTTTCAGAGAATTCACAGTACTTTTACTCAGCATCGTTTACGTATTGTAGCTAACAGAGATGTAATTATTCCAACAAAACACACAAAAAATCTTGTATCAGAAAAGTAGGTATAAGTAAATCATTTCAGCTTAAGAACTTTTGGTCCCTTAATAATTTTTTTAAACTTTATTCTAAAATTATTCAATTATTCCCTTCGCTTGGTGAATTAAATTTCATTGGATTCTTCCATATTCATCAAAATCTACCAACTTTATATAACACTTGTAATTCCGTTCCTCTTCCTCAAAGCTATAAAAAGTCTTATCTCATTCCGTTTCCTTCCTTTGATTCCTAGTTTGCTGTATAATTGCATTTTAAGTAATAAGAATCACATGCAAGGGACTTACACTGGGAACACTGTCGTTCGTACAGGCACCCTCTGATAGTAGTCTGTCCCTGATTTCCCAGGCGAATATGGAGGGGCACTCCCTTTTGAAGTGGGCGATTTTGGCCACCACGTCAGGGGTGGCCACTCGGGGTTTACTGCCACCGATCGCTCGCGGACGGATCGAACCGGTCTCGTAGTATCGGCCCAGGATCTTGGAGACGCAGCCGTTGGAGACCTGTAGGATGCGGGAGATGTCGCAGGGGCGTGCCCCGCTGTGGGCCAGCTCCACGATCTTCTGGCGCGTGGAGTCCGGCAGCGGACGCCCGTTTACGTACACGCCGCCCAGCTGGTTGATACCGCTGTGGCCTGAAATTGAAATATGCTTATTATAAAAACGACCATATGTTATACTCATTTCAAAATAGTTTAAGGTATCAGCAAAATTATAAACTCTGTTTAAAGTCTAGGACACACAGTTTTAAAAATTTAGGAATTAGCGGAAGTATACAATACATATGCAAATGCAATGAATTAGTGAACATGTTCTTACTTACACATTAACAGATATATGCGATTTCCATAGATTCCATTATCAGAAAATTCACCGTTTTACTTGAGTTGGTGATATCTTTCCAATAATTCCTTGATTAGCTTTTGCTACCATGTTTACCAGCCAAACATAGCCATTTTTTAATAATCGAGTGTTTAATTTTGCTGCATTCGCATTTAAGTAACCAACCATTTTTTCTTTTTTTCTTTAAATGTCTCTGGGATTTATCAAATAAAAAAAAAAAAAAAAAAAAAAAGTCTTTTGTTAAAAGGAGAAGCTTTATTGCCGATAATTCCATTCATTGATCTTATACATCACTTAGAAAAGGATAAGACCGAGATGTAAAATTCATAAATGCAGATAGAGCGTTTCCATAATTTACGACCCTATTCTAAGACTGAAGATTTATTTAGTTTTGTCGTGTTTTATTTACTGTTCTCTCTTGCCGTTGCAACCACACATGGTTAAACGTAGTTATGAAAGCGACACAGATGGTAATAATTTACTGTAATCCCAGCTGGCAACATATATGATTAAAAACACGACTGTAGTATGACTGACACATGTCTATTGATAAGTTTTTGCCAACGCCGCATTAAAATATCAGGTAATTAATTAATATTAAAGACTAAGCTACTGTGATATCTAAAGATATAGTACAGCAATTAAGCACAAGTATTTCTTCGGTTAAATAAGCAAGTTTAAGGAATTGTAAATATTTAAAATTGTGATTTCAAACGACAAACGATTTAAGCATAATTATTATCTGACAGATTATTATCTGATAAAATTACAGTCATACAGCTGTCAAAAAATTAGATTAAAATATCTGATGTGGACACCACATGACTTCCTTGTACGGCCTATTAAATTATACGAATTTTTTGTTGCATTTTATTTAACCTTGTTTCCTCAAATTCCATTAGAGATGATTTCTCATTCAATTAATTCAATTGTCAATACGCAACAAGGCAAAAAATACGTAAAAACTCAAAGCATCTTCATTAAAAATTGCAAAATACAGAAAATATAAAACACCAAATACGGTTAAAAGAAACTGTTACACAATGAAAATTAGAGTTTCTACACAAAAACAAGCGATTCTAGTAGCGGACAGGAAGACAGATTTCGGTGTTCAAAACTGAAAGTTTACTTTTGCTCGCACTCAGAAGAAAGACAATAAAGTTGGTGCCCTAACTGACTCAATTCACGATTCTACTAAGAGTTTCAAATATAAACGAATGACGGCCTCGTTAGGGTTAGCAACACTTAAACTTTTAAATTGTTGATAATTCTACAACTATTACATGCAGATTAACTAAAGGCATAGCAACCTTACCGGGAACATAAAAACAATCTAATTCAATCACTTTTAAAGCAAAGAACGTGCAATTTACCAACATATAAGAATAGAAATACTAAGCTCACCGAGCCGGATAGTAGAGTAAGCGTATATATACGTATATATGTATGTAAGTACATAAAGAAACATAATAAGAGGCTAAAAATTAAAAACAACATTTTTATACCCGTCCTGAGCTGTAGCTGCAGGACTGAAGTAAAATAAACTTGAAGCATCTAAAGTTAAAAGTAAATTAGTTAAAAGAGTCAAAGCAAGGCAATTCGTCAACAATGTTAAATAATTGCCACCGTGTATAAGAGGTTGTTTAGATATTGTGTCAAACTTCTCCACTCAGTCTTTTATTCATGTGAGATTTTATCAGCGTGTGCTTTTATCAATGTAGGTTTATATCAGTGTGGGCTTAAATCTAAGTGAACTTTCATATGTGGCGGTATTTGCCGTACCGGCAATTATCCCAGTGGGTTTATTTTTTAGGGTTTTTGGTGCATGTTTTTTCGTCCAGTGGCCTTTTATCTGGTTCTACTGTAGAAAACAGTTCGCGATTAGCACAATTTGTTGAATTTATGGCATTGCTGGAAGCTTCTCCACCGCTACGTCGCGCCACCAGCGGCCGAGCGGTAAAGTCGCTGAATGGTGGTAGTTCGGTCTGAGGTTCGAATCCCGCATATGAGCTGGCTGCATGAGGGTTTTCGTCCTGCGCAACGGCATAAAATCGAGTTCCCTTTAGAAAGTCCTCCGTGAAGGCACTCATCTCCTTAGTCATATAGTTTTCGAGGACTTTGCCGTAATCAAATAAATCAAACCAAACCACCGCTACGTCTTGGGTTCTTGTCTTTACGGAGGTAATCACTGTTTTGGGGCAGTCGATATAAATAACTGAATGCTCTAGTGGCCTTTGGATCTTGTATCTTACTTTGAAGGGTTTATGAACCGATTTAGATGTTTTATGATGTGATAAATATGGTACAGATCTATATTATTTTGTATTTTAGAATAAGTGTAAAGTGTTATTGTGATTTCGAAAAAGCACGTTTAATATTAGTAATGAATAAACACTTTGCACATTCTGAAATAGGAAAAGTTTCCCGCTGTAAATTAGCACTTTTGGAAAGTTTTCTAGCAGCGAAGAATTAAACTACCCTCGAAAATGGAGCTATTATGCTATTCGATATAACATAAGTAAGTCTGCTTGCATGAATTTTAAAAATTAAGAACTTTTTCTTTCGTAACGTGAATATCAATAATATAAATGATTTATAGCGTAGAAGATTTAGGACTTAAAATATAGTACAAGTTATACAAGATTATTACAAATGATTAACTGTTTCTAAATCATTTATAAAGTAACCTTGTATAACTTTCCTGCTTGTTTGGAAATAGTTTGGACAACAATTAACGTTTATTCTTCAATTTTACACTGAAAATCGTAAACATCTAACTCAGAGAAGGAATACATATGAATACAGAATTCAAGTCACTGCAAAACCCATGTGAATAATAGAAAATCACTGCGACATTACTGGGAGAAAATTTTGCGCTTAAATCTGTGCGCGGATAAAACAACACTCCAATTTTTAATGCTTATTGCACTAAGCTTACTTGCTATAATAGATAAAACATAAAAATAAGGAGAAAAAGATATTGTCACAATTATTAATTCACTTTTTTCGTTCTAATACAATTATTAATTCATTTTTTTGTTCTAATAGCGTAAATATTTAATCACGTTGGGAAAAGTATCATGTAACAATAAAAAATATAATATAAAATAAAATATATAAAATAATAATAGAATTAATATGGTGAAACTTAAAAGAAACTAATGTCTGAAAAAAATGGAAAGTCAAATCGATACGGTAAAAATAATATCATACCAATATTTAAAATTTGAAATGGCAGCGATGACAATTTAAGAGGCTGAAACTGCAGTATATCATAATGATAAATAAATGGGTAAGAAGCGAATTGCAAATTTGACAATTACTTTCAAGCGCAGGAGATTTCTATGCTAGTATAAAAGGTACCTAAAATATTAGGATATAAATATGTCTGAAAGTCGAGATTATTAGAAAATTACATACGCATTTTAAAATTAAATGAAAAACCTGAAATAAATTCATCAAGTTTGTATGAAATATCCTTCCAGAAATTCTCGGTTATTATACATATGTAATGAGCTTATAACAATTCTAAAAAACAATTTAAGACATTAATAAGAACACTAGAATATTTCTGCAATTTATTTACTTAGAGTCCAGGAAGGAAAATTTGGGAGGATGATTATTAAAAAAAGGGGTTGAAAATGCCCACAAGTCCTATTTAAATTGAATCATAATGCCTGCTTCATACGCACTAAACAAAGACATAGACATTGAAAGAGACAAATTTACCTCGTGATTACAAATCCGGCAGAGCGTTCCAGTGTAACAACCCTTTCCTTGCGATACATACATCTGTTATGAACTATCGCATCCAGCACAATCATCATACCACGCCTTGGACAGCAGCAACAGAGAGAGAGAGAGAAAGCCTTATCACAAAATCAAGCCTTCGGGGAGTGAAACCCACCGCAAACAAGGAGGAAAGTTGACGAAAGAAAAAAAAATGTATATACCAACAACAAAAATGTCTAGGCCTTTGTGGGTAGGTCTGCTTGCCGACTGTGAATCAGAGGGCATGATCATAAGCGCAGTGGTTTTAGGGGGTGTCAAGCGAAGTCCTACATTATTCATTATTAACCGAAGCTGCGCATACAGTTGCTTCCCTCCCCCCCCCGCCGTCCTCTGAAACCCCACTTTTGCGATCTTATAACGTGGAGGATTTGTCGTGAAGAGGCATTCCTCCAAAGTGCGTCTTACCATGGTTGAGTTGATTAGTTCTGAAAAGCGTGAACGAGTCTTGCTGCACATCAGAGACTCGGAGCCGGCTTTTGGGGTGGAGGGTAGGAGAGACGAACCATCACCGCGTGGGGGCTGTGCACCTTCACCTCTCCCCTTTCCCGATCTTCTGCATCATCCTTTCCGCTTGTCTTAGCTCGAACTAACTACTTCTCTTAAAAGGAGGTTTTCTTCGCCATGAACACCGATGAAAGTTTGGCCATCCAGTGGTTTTAACTTATTTGTAACCTCCGGCAGAACGCTCCAGCCTCTGTGGCATGCATAAAGGGCTCTTGGCAGTTTTTTACTACTTCCCTTCGTGGTAGTACCTAGGTGTTCTTATTATAATTATTTAAATTTGTTTCTTTTTTTTTTTCACGCGAGGACACTGTGTCACGACTGAAAAAGGCTTGATTCGTGACGAGCCCGTTTGAAGTTGTCACTTCGGAGAAGGTCGTGTATTAATGAATTAACCTTTAGCGATGGTATCACGTTTCGTTTCGTGTGCGGGCGAGGCGACAGCCAGACGCTAGAAAGTCAAGGAACTTTTCGACATGTGTAATGCCAGACAACTAACTGGCAGGTGCCAGTCCTTCATGCCAGGTAATGACGTGAGAAAATATCAGCTACTTTTAAAACATCTGATTCCTTCTTATTATTTTGCATGTCTTCACCTGCATATCAGGAAATACTCTCACACAAGGAAATGGACTGTGCAATTGATTTTGCATAATTAAGAAGGACCATTGAACAATAAGAAGTTTCAGAGCAAGCTTGATTCCCCTTCATTTCCTTTTATTTTTATTTATCTGCTGTTTTATTTCAGTTACTTCCTTTCATTTCACAGATTGTATTGTACATTTTTACAAATCGAACATTCTTAAACGATATATGTCCATCCGATCGACGGTGCTTTTATTTTCGCTCCCTTCTAATTTCTGTATCATAATATAGTTATTCTTCATTCTTCAACATGAGACCATATAATAGTCTTAAAATGGCCTCTTAAGTATTCAATTTATTATGATTGGTAAAATATTTTTATCTAAAATGGTTTCAAAAAGTCATCATTTTAATTTTGTCATCTTATGAACTTACTTATATTTATAATAACAAAGTACTAGAACAAATTTCATATACTTAACCTATAAATTAAATTCTCGTACTATTTCAAGCTTTTAACGTACACTGCATTGAAGTTAGAACTATTAATAATTGCACATCTGCAGGTAAGCGTATTAAAACAAATGTAGAACGGCAGGTCTTTGATTTTAAATGAACTTAAGTTCTGTTTCCAAATGGGGGGAAGAAGAATTTTATCTCATTATATTAGATCACAATTTGCAAATAATTAGTCTTGATAGAAGATGAAATAAAGCGAAACTAGCCGTCTCATCTAGAGTTTTGGCCTCTCATCTTGAGTTTTGGACTTGGGTCTTATATTTGAATTATTGGGCGTAAAAGAATAATTTCTGAAATAAATTAAAAGTGCTGTTTCGGTGATCGCACTGAAGATCAGAAAAAGACAAAGCCTTTTTATACGGTAGATAATTAATATTTGAAGTATTCTGCACTGAGGTATTTAGTATATAAATTTAAAGCTACTTCTTCAGTTTAAGTTTTACGTAAACTTTGATTCAGAAATGAAACACCAGAAAATCTTTTGGTTGAAACTACAATAATTTTTTTTTAAATTACAATAAATTACAGCCTTATAATTTTTTTAAAATTAAATTCGGAGAAGAGTATGTTTTTAAATAAATGCTTAAAAATCCTCTAAGAGAAGATCAACGAATTAGTTGAAGGTGAGAAAAGCTCAAACAATCACGTATTTAAAGAGTGCTCACATCACATTTAAATGTAACCTTATATCGTAATTGAGTACCCTAATCAGTTTTTCTAATTGTATCAACATACTATGTCAATTAGCAGGAATTCAGGAAGAAAATTTTACTAGACAGATGTATAACCACTTTTTCAACTTTTCATTATCCAGTATGTAATATATAAAAATTTTAGTACGTATCTGCAATGAAATAAATTAATTAACTAATTAAAATGGTGGATTTGCAACTGTGTAAAAGAGATATAATACAACATCAAAACTAATCCAATTAAAAAGGGAGCTCAGTGTAGAACAATCTCGAAAAATAAAAATGCGATGCATATATATATATATGAAACATGAAAGACAAGGAAGCAAATGAGGCACTTTTTCAGGTAAAAGACCAAGAAAGCCACCAGATTAGCTACGATTTGGTTTGGTTTAGTTGATTATGGCAAAGCACACTAGGGCTATTTGCCTGAGGGAAGGGATGCTTTTGTGTAGGTCTTTCTAAGGGAAACTGAATCATATACACGTTCCACATGGGAAAAATCACGAAATGCCCACTCAGCCAGCCTGTTCACCTGGAATCAAACCCAGGTGGGAACTACCAGCGCTCAACGATTTCTGCTCAGCCGTTGGTGGGGCGATTAACTAAGAAAAATTCATTTTAAAAAGAAATTATAATTGCTAACTTTTAACTGTGAAACTTTCGAAAGGCATCAACTTAAAGTATCTTATTTAAATAAACTTTACTAACGCTAAATCATAAAATTGGAAGAAAACACGGCAATATAAAATTTAAAATTAGGCAAAAACCAAACTTAGTCTTGAGTAGACTTTAAATGAAATTATATCGACATCGAGAGCTATCAGAGACATACAGAGGGTTTTTTTTTTTTTTTTTTTTTTCCAGAACAAAAGAATAAAAATCTCTCAAATGTAACATTTTAAGGTTGTGATTAAATCTCACTTCATCGATCAATGATGAGAAAGCAAATTTTTCTATTTATAATATCACCTCAGGAAAGAGGAAAGTGTTATATGAGACTATTTCTTTTCAAGGCCCATTTTTGTAGTGGTAAGCGATGAGCTGTTATAGCTTAAAAGATAAAATAAAGATCTGCTGTAGAGTGTATACTGACAGCACGCTATCATTGACTAATCGGCCCCAAATCGTTCATCTCCAGAAAACCAGAACTACCCGAATAAAACACGTTAAAAGCATTAAAAGCATTATGTAGTCATAAAGTCAGGGAAATTTCTGAATAGGCTGAAAACTTTAAATAGAGAGAAATTAAAAAAAAATTGGATCACAAAATTTCCTTAAGCTACATTAAACACATGTGAAGTAAACATAAAAAGGTTAAGGAAATACTTGTATTATTAAACCATTAATGATTAAAAGGGTAAACAGCTGCTTATTTTTAAGTCAGTTGCACGGTGTAAGACTTAATTGTAAGCAATCTAAAATATTACATCGGAAATATAAGGAATATAATAATATCGTATTCATAAAGTGTTTTCCAAAATGTATTATTCTTAATGTAGATAGCCGGGAAACCGGCTACTCATCGGCTACATCATCATTTACAAACTCATCGAGTTCATAAAAATCATTCTTACTGAAAGAATTTCGTTACAAATGGCCATTAGTAGAACGAAAAGGTTTTAAGGTGTCAATTTTTGAAGATGATGATGACAACAGTTCACTATAAGATATGTGTTTAAGGTAATTAATCAGTGTGGTCCACTACTTAATGTACAAATCACTATTCATAAAAACTCGGGTTTTTCATGAGAAATGAAGCATTTCTGCTAAAATATTTTATCAATACCTTAATTTTAACATGAACTAGAAGACAGCTGCGTTCGTAAACAACTTATTTTCCCGCTTTGATTTGTGTAAAATAAACACCATTTATAAATTAATTTATATGACTCTCTATTGCATAGAAGGGTGATTGATTAAAGCAACAAAATAAAAAGAGTATTTACTTTATACACAGCTTAAATTTTAAAGTACCCATAAATATCTTAAAATATATTTTAAATTTAATGAGACACTTAAGCTCAGACTTTAAATACATCGACACTCCCATTTCATATTAAATATGTAAGGATTTTCTGATTTTAATTGATATTTCGCACTGCTAGAAAGCCGAAAAGTTAGAGCAATTAGCCGAGATAGCAACCGAAAATTAAAAAAAAAAAAAAAAAAAAAAAAAAAGAAAGGTATTTGTATAAGATATTTCCCCTCCTTTCCGCATGCTTTCGTGGCTAATTGGAAGCATAATCGACGCGTATTCGTGAGATCCAGGGTTCGACTCCCTGGCACGGCACACTTTTCACGTCTTCCTGCTCATAAAAACCTAATGACTCTAAAAACTGGCAACCGAAAACTGGCGCCCGAACCAAAAGGTAGTGGACGATAATTCGTCTTCACCAGGATTTGGCGACTGGGGCCTCTAATTTCCAGTGGCCCTTTAAAAGGGGAAGTATGTAAAGCATTTTTCCCTCCTATCCGCATATCTTCATGGTGTAATTGGAAGCATACTCGACGCGTATTCGAGAGGTCCAGGGTTCGAGTCCAGGCGATTGTTTTGCACATTTTTAACGTCTTTCTGCTTCAAAAAACCTAATGACTCTATATGTGAGCCTTATAGAATTTCGGCTGCAGTTTTTGAATTGCGATTAGTTTTTCTATACCTCATCATAATTTTAGGTTCTATATATAAATTTAAAAGCTATTTTATTTCTCGCGAGGTACTGAATTTGTTTAAGTGCACACTGCGTTTAAATTATTGCACGTAGCAGCACATACCAAACTCTTACATTAAGTTTGTACTTATGTATATATAACAATAAGTTCGTAAATCGTATTTAATAAATTTAATATTGCAATTTGATTGTATTTATTCTTTTCTAAAACAATATTTTCATTGCTGCATATACTATTATTCTCCTTTACAAAATTTTAGCAATATTTATGATATATAGCACTCTGTTAAGAAAAATTTTAGTATAAGAT